AGCTCTATTATCTATATATTTACCACTAACCTTCACATATGATTGGATGTTCACCTCTTATTTACATTCTTTCCTTGCTGCTAGGCTTCACGGCCTTGCTGCATACTCCAACATGTTTACATTCTTGCTATTTTCACTGCCCTGTACTTTCCCACAGTCAACTAGTAAGTTTCTGGCTATGTCAAACCCAGGTCTAACTGAGGCCTATTATTATGGTTTGTTCATAGTGTATCTTTTTTCAGCTAAGCACTCCACAGCCAGGGGACTTTTGCAGGCTGGGAAGAGGCAGCTGCTCACCCAGCGGGGCCCATCCCCCTCCCAGTGCTGCTGAGGGGTCGAGTCCTGAAAGGCAGAAAAAACCCTTTTACCATGCCCCTATGGTAATCCCTCATCTCTTGGAATGTATAAGTCATACCTAGCTTCTTCAAAACTCCCTCACCCCCACTGAAGCGGGAACGCCTTCTAGGTACCTTAGTGAGTATCCAGAGGCGGAATAATAGATGTCACCTATGGTGAATATGGGCACTGAAAGAAACGAGGCTGCACACCACACAGAGTTCAATTTCGGGACTTGCCCGTCGATCTTTCCAGCATTCCCCTTTTATCAGGGTTCCTGTGTAAACAGCACATGGTGTTTGTCTTTTAGTTAATGGGAATTCCCAGGATCGTCCTAAACTAGTGCCTTGATCCCACACATTCACCTTGCATCATGTGGTGGCTGTGTTCATCCACAAGAGAAAAACACATGCTATCATGAAGAGCATTTAAAGTGGTTTTTGCTTTGAGAACACAGCACTCTATGAAAAACAGTCAAGGCCAAAACACTCTTTTTGGACCCTAATTAACTGAATGCAGGTGCTGCCGGCTTAACTGGTTCTCACATCTCCCCCTTTTTGTTTTGACACACAAGGTTCACTGCAAAGAGGGTCAGGACCCAGGTTTCTTGTCTTTGGGCTTGTCCGATGTGCTTCCAGAGGACTTAAAATATTAAAAACAGACAAATTATTAAAAAATCTGCTATTGATGCTGACATATTATCCAATACACTGGCCATTGTATGCACGGCCTGCACTGAATGGGCCAATGCCATAATAACCATGGCTGCGGTAGCTGCCATGATTGCTGCAGAGATGATAAAAGCAATTAGTCATCCACTGACGATTTCTTGATTGTGTTAACAGTTTCATTAATTTACTGTATACTACGTCATCCTCCCAGCTTCTGGTTAGGTTCACTGGGAGCCACAGTTCAGCTCTTCTGTGCATGGGAATAATTAATGATAAATTGAGAGTGGATACTGATACAACTAAAACAGTAAGGATGACTTACAGTGATGTTAAAGGTATTGTTAGTAACACTAATCACGTCAGGTGTGGCTAAGAAGGCATATAAGCAAGAGGTACACACCATGACTGAGTCATTATGCTGGTTAGTAAGAGTTAGTAGACCCAATGAATTATCCCTAAAATATTTTCTTCCATGTGACATTCGGGCAGGCCTTACGCAGCTCAGCATTCATTGGTCTCCTTCTGGGATTCTTGAGGGACAGCCTCTGCAGCTGCAGAATCGGATTGCGTCTTGGGTCCACTCACAATAAGGTTTCATTAAATGTGCTGGAAGCCAGGAGGGTCCTGCAGGAGACAAAACACAAGCATACCCTTTCCCCATACTAACAACTCAATAGGACCTTGTCATTAGGTATTTTCTTGTGGGTTTTTGTACAATACTTATTGATCTAAATTCAAAAACTTAAGGGTAAATACAGCTTTATCTACTTGGGGTGTCATATTCCCCCTTTTTTGTTTTAAAAGTATGGTATTTAATACAGAGTACACATTTCTTGCACCTGGGATAGTTAAGGTTTTTGTTTTGTTCTTTTTTCCCTTTTCTCTCTTTTTTTTCTTTTTCTCTTTTTTCTTTTTCTCTTTTTTCTTTCTTTTTTCTTTCTTTTTCTTTTTTCTTTTTTTTTTCTTTGTTACATTGTTTTGTATCAGTTGTATTTTCAAAGGAAGATTTAAACACATATCAAAACAATCGCCATGGACATTTTTCAAGGCAAAAAATAATCTGGCATTGTTCTAGGTTCATAAGGATTCCCAAAATCATAAACACTGAAACATGAAGGGTGTAGGCAAAGCAACTTTATCCTATTAATTGCGATAATACATACCGACCCCTGAATTTCTGAAAAGCTGCTGAGCAAGAGAAGGAGATGGAGCATGGTACTCAGCGGGAGGGGCGGGAAGGAAATGCATCTTTCAGGGCGTCCCCTGGATCAAAGAAGTGTGCATATTGTCCTCCCCCCATCCCCTGTCCAACCCAGAACCACCTCCTATATCCCGCTCACAGGAGTGGAATTTTCCAATTGTGACATCAGCTCACATGTGGCCAGCACATGAACTGAGAACACAATGGCTTATGATATCAACTCCGTGCCATCAACAGCTCTGTTGTTTCTTTTCCAAAAGTCAAGTTCCCAACAGTGAAACTATACAATATTTTCTAATGCCACACTGATGAGCACAACCACGGACCAACTATGACAGGGTGTCAGACACAACTCAGGTCCCTGACACAAGCATAAATTAATCAATCAATCTTAAGTTTTAACTCTTTTTTCTTCACCAATTTTAGTATTATTCTTAACCTTTTTCTTTAAATCTCGACTATGGCATACATGTGAGGGCATGTAATTGTACACATGTACCTAGGACTAGGTGTTTGTTGGTTTAAAGCACAAAACACACTGTATAAATAACTTCCCTTTTTAAAGTTACCAAGAACAAAGTTATAGGCACTTAATTTATCAAATACATTCAATGGTTCCTAACAGGGTTTGAGGGAGACATGCTCTCCGCTGCAAAGTAGAGGCAAGCCCCGGTGCCGAGTAGCCGCAGAGAGCACACAGCACGCATATAATCCTGTAGCAAAGAGAGTTTATTCGAGTTTCCCACAGCTTATAAGGCTGTTGGGAGGAAGGGAGGGGTTTGGCCACTCGGCTAGCCAACGGGAGGAGACTGGAGATTAACACCCAATAGGAACCCAGGGACCGGAGAGGGACAGGTGAGACAACCAATGGGGTTAGGACAGGGGCGGGGGCTGGCTCAGTGAACAGAATGAAGATGGAGCCGCCCAGGGAAACCACGTGGGGACTGAGTGAGAGAGATTTTACACAACATAGGGAGTTCCTGTACAATAAATTCGCGATGCCTGAGTTTAAACTGTAAATGTTTTTCTGTGTTGACTTTGGGAAGCTGCATCTGCGGTGGTTTTTCCTCTAAAGATGTTCTTTCCAAAGCTTGTAGTCTGAGCTGTCTCTCACAGGTTCCAATGCTGTGTGTCCATTCTTCAGATGATTCATGCATCCAAGCTCTCTCCGTTTTTTTTCTTCTTCTTTTTTTTTTTTTTTTTTTTTTTTTTTTTTTTTTTTTTTTTTTGTTTTTCTTTCTCCTTCCTTTCTTTCTCTCCTTCCTTCTCTTCTTTCGGTTTCGTAGTTGAAGTTTAGTCCCGACACATTGGCATGTTGGAGGGCTCGGAGAGAGAGGGGGGACTGCCATGGCGGCACATGGCGAGGCGCAGGGGGGAAGCAGCCGGGCACCCCTTTTTTCTGGTTGCTGCTGTCACCACCGCTACCGCTGCTCGAATTCCCCCGCCGCAGGGCGGCAGGGTTGGGGGAGGGGGGGGGGGGGAAGTGTTGAAGTGTCGGGCGGCCCTGATGTCTCAGGCTGCCCCTGTTGCCGCTCGGGCACCGCCACCCCGCACGGCATCCTGCTCGGCGGCCCGGCCCCGGCATGGCAGGCCACAGCCAAAAGAGACCAAAGAGATGAAGAGGCCTTTCAGTGGGCTCCTCAGATGCCTCAGGAATGAAAGAATTATTCTCCCTCACCTTCACAGATTATTCTGAGTTGGAAGGGACCCACAAGGATCATCGAGTCCTACTCTTAAGTGAATAGCCCATGCAGGGATCAAACCCACAAGCTTGGTGTTATTAGCACCATGCTCTAACCAACTGAGCTATTGTATTTTTCCACTCTTTTCCAATGGGGTCCTTCCTGTGAAGGTGCTCCACAGGGATAACCTCCTGCTGAGTGTAACTCACACGATCCCCACATGGTCCACAGGATAAAGCCTGTTCTAAATAACCTGCACATGCAAACATTTTTCAGAACTTGGAGCAAATAACCTAGTGTTAAAGGGCAACGAAGGACCGCCCTGCTTTCCCATGCCCATCTCCCTTTTTTAAGAGCTGTTAAAGCAAGATGCAGTTTGCTGTCTCCCTGTGATGCAGTTGTGGCTTGGGTCTGGCTGGGATGGAAGTAACTTTCCCTATAGCAGCCCTCGTAGTGCTGTGCTTTGCAGTTCTAGCTAGAAGGGTGTTGACAACAGACGTGTTTCGGCTACTGCGGAGCACTGCTCACACAGCATGGAGGTTGTCTCTCCAACCACTGCCACTCCCACAGTCCAGTAAGCTAGGGGTGGGCAAGAGATTGGGAGGGGACAGAGTAAGGACAGTTGACCCAAACTGACAAAAGAAAGATTCCATAGTGCTATGGAAGCACCACAGTTGCTGGTCAGACCAACTGTTTTTTCCTACCATATCCCTCCTCAGCAGAAAAGGGATATCAAGGGGGTCTTATCACACAGCAATTGATAAAGAGCTCCAACGGGAGCTAAGACTTTGATTCTAACAAGGCGCAGGGGACTGCTAAGCGCTTGCAGCGCCATGCTTCAAATGACCGGGTAAATCACTGTCTATGAAACGCTGTTAACAGGCTGAAATGTTCCACATACTTGCACTCCGGGGAGACACCGTTTGAACTTGCAGAACCATTTCCCCTCAGTAAGACGCGCAAGACGGAGATGATATCCCCATGTTAAATCTTTATTGTGCAACTGCTGCTCAAAGCTTTTATTACCTTCCACAGACACACGTCACAAAAACTTGCACATCAACAGCAGCTAGATTGACGGGCAACAGGTGAAATCCATTCAGTGGCCATTTATACACGTGCGGCAACTCCTGCGGTGCAAAACTCTGAGCCGGGCGGCCAGCCCAACTGACGGCCACCCAGAACACGTAGATGTATGCGATACACAGACTGCCCACCCTCGGGCCCTTCGTCCACAACCATCCGGAATCCATCGGTCAGGCCCAGGTGAGCAGCACGCTTCTCGCCAACAACCATTACACGCCCAAGAAGCTGGAGAAGGAAGCACACACCCATAAATAAAATAAAATAAACCAAAACGGAACACACAAACACGGGAGAGGGCAGGAAGGGAAGGAATGAGAGCAGAGAACCACCCAGAGAAAGTAGCTAGCCAATTCCTCGCAATTCAACCATTGCGCTTCGAATTACTGCTCCTCCGCCCGCCTGCAACCCACGTTTGCCAAGCAAAGCTACAACGACCGATTAGGAACACCATAGGGGGAAAAAAGAGCTAGGAAGGTTTTTTTACAAGCTAGACAGGAACGGACTACAAAACACACACAGAAGCTGACTTGGTCTCTGCATTAGGGTTTAGGGTTAGGGTTCTATCTTAAGGCAACATAAGCAATCCTGGCGGAAAATAAACTTTAGGCTGCCATTTGCGCGGGTTTACAGTCTTTGAACTTGACGTTCATAGCTAAAAGCAAAGCAGCCAGCACCTCTCAACCACCTTTGCCCTTCCTCACCCCTGACCCGCCAAAAACCACAAGCCCTCTTCTCCGTGTTAGAAGAAGTACTACTACTCTTACTCTAAACCATGACAATAGGCACCAGACCGCGCTCCAAGACAACACTGCATTTTGCACCACAAGTACATACCCAGGGATGAGCATTGCTTTAGATCACTGCTTTGGTCAAAAAGCTCAACTCCATCACAAGCTAGAGGCAAAAGATTTTAGCGCCAGAAAACCCAAAGTCGCCTACTGTGCCCTATCAGGAGGGAAAGACGGGATGGGAAGGAGTCTAGTAAATGAGGAACTAACTACAGGTACAGTTTAGCGTACTTACAGATTCCCCACAATCTTCTGCTTCAGATAACCCGATAACTGGCTCCTAAAGGCATGACTAGGAAAAGCATCGCAGCTTGGGGTGAAAGATCATGGAACGCGAGGCACTGGAGGAAGAGTAAGCAGTTAAAACGTAACCGGCTTCAGAGAAAGGTAATGGCTTAAGCAAATCCAGCTGCCCCACTGAACTCCTACAGAAGCAGATTGCCAGGTACCCCAAACACAAGCCGGAACGTCGGTCTGTCTCGCGCAATATCAATGCTTTATATACCCAGAATGCAACGTATTTACAGAGCCCCCTCCAGAAGCGTCATTCGGCATGCAAGACCATGGGGACAAGGAGACGGGTCGCTACTTGCGATTAGCGACCTCCGGTAGGTTTTTGTTCGGGCTGATTGTTTCCTAAGCGCTTTTTCTATTGGATGTGGTCCACGCAGAGGCAGGAGACAAATGGCTTAACTGAATCAGCAAAGAGTTTGGTGAAGTGGAAGACCAGCGGCCATTCATCTCCCACGGTACAGGGAGCTCAAGTATGGAACAAACGCGTAGTCACAGGGAGCGAGCAAGTGCGCAGTACGAGTCTGTCTTCTATATTGCGCGTAAACCATATTGCTGCAAAAGCAGAAGACGTCCCTAACTCTCTCTGTTTTCAGCATTTTAAGAACAAAATTATACGAGACACTAACTTAAAGTTAACATCCCATAGGCAACGGCTGCATTCTTTTCCCTCCCGCTCTAAGCACAGCACCTCACTCTAGTTCCCAGCACCAACACCCGTGAATCTCGCAAGCGTGCTGTTATCACGGTCCCACTTCCCCACAGAAACAACATCTGGGAAGCTTTTGCAGCCGGCAGGATGACCAGGTTCTAGATATTGGTTTGGGTTGGGCTTTTTTTTAAGAAAAACGAAAAAAAGCTGCAATTCTTTGCTTTCATAGTCCAATTTGGGGGGTCCAGAACCGAAGTCGAGCAGAGCAGAGCTGCGAAACCTCTTCGATGCCATTACGAAACACATCGAGACCTGCACGTCTCCAATGCAGAGCCAACTCCTTACGGTCACCGCTCAGACCTACGCTGTTAACAGACACACACGCACCCCCACCACGCCACCCCACCCGGAAACCCCGAGGAGATTGACTGCGCGTGCCTACAATAAGCTTTCAGAATTATCATCCTCCACGAGGTAGGACCACCCCCATCCCTCGGCAGCAAACTTTGCACGACTTGCAGCGCCAAAGGGACATCGTGCGGCAAACGTCTGCGGCTGACGCCAAGTGCGTTACCGTCGGAGGCCCTTCTCTACGCGCGCACACGACGCGGTGGGGCTGGGAACCGAGGCGAGCCCGGACAGCAGCAGCAACCCAGTACGCGCCGCGGCAGCCGGGGGGGTGGGGGTGGGGGCGGAACAAGCTTTGGGGATGGTGCAGTAGAGAGCGCCACAACCCAGATAGGTTCCGTCCGTCCCCCGTTTCTCCACCCACGCGCAGCAGCAGCGCCGCCACCCGCCCTCCCGCGCCTCCGGGCACTGCGCCCCGGGTCCTCGGCTCAGGGTAGGGGGGAAAAGGGAAGAGGAAGCGCGCACAGAGCAAAGCCGCGGCTACCTCCTCGTCCTCGTCGCTGACGGTACCGCGGAAGCGCCTCGCCGATGATCTTTCCGAAGACAGTAGTGGCGCCACCAGGCCGGGCGGCCCGCGCCCCGATAATCTCGTCAGCCACGACAACGCCCGTCGCCGCGCCCGCCCTTCCTCCACTCGGCCAAGCCCTCTGCGGCGCTCCCATTGGGCCACCGGATCGCCGCCGGCCGTTCCCGCGACTCGATTGGCTGACTCGCCTGTCGTTTTCGCTTGTCCCCGCCCCCTTGGCGGGTCCGCCCTCGTCGACCTGGGGTATACCGGGGCTCAGGGAGATTGCGCGCCCTCGGGGCGCGGAGGGATCTGTCCCGGGGCGCGGAGGGATCTGTCCCGTGTAGTGCTGCGACCCTGACGGCGGGCAACGAGGTCGCAGAAGAGGCTGCGGTAGCTAGAAGTACCATTTCTTGTTATTTGTTACTGCGCCAAGTCCACCCCAAAAACGTGCCTCTCGCCTTTTGGTGCTGCTCCCTCCAGTCAAATGACTGCTTTTGCCAGGGCCTGGCCTTAGCTTCTCAGGACATTTCGCAGAACCAACAGAATTTGCTCTACATTGTTCCCTGAAAGCCCCACCTCAGTTGCAGACGTTTCTAAGCGGCACGCCTCCTGGCAGAAAATACAATAGGAAGCGTGCCTTTGTTCGACACCGCTGGCTTGAGGGCCAAAAAAAGTAACCTTTACCTGATTAAAGGCCATTAAATATTAAAACGCACACCCCCGCGT